ATTTAGCATGTAGCTTCATAAAGCTTAATGAGGACTGGTTATCTCCTACACTTTGAAAGAGGCTAGATGCAGGGGGAACAGGGTGTTCTGGTTTTTGCACTATGTGAATGAAGTGATCATAAAGTTGTGTGACTCTGAGCAGCTGCCTGAATCGAGCACTGCTGTCCAAAGGAAACATCTAGATAGTATACTCTGTGGCAATTGGCTTAATAAGAAGAAGGTTGATATCCTAGTAACTACTCTGAAGCAATTTCATTAGTCTAAATTCTACTGATAACACATGCCCTGAAGACTATCATTCCTTTGTGGAACACAGTATAATGCTGAATTTAGCAAGAGCACAGACTCAGGAATCAGACTGTCCAGTTTCAAATCCTGGCCTGTGTGTGACCTCAAGCAAGGTACTGGTTCTCTGCATCTAAGTTTCTACCTCTATTAAGTGGAAAGAATAAATAGAGATTAAATTTACTCTGCTATGAAGGTTAAATGAGCTTATATTTGTAAAAACATTTTTTAAAAGAGCCCTGAAGCTACATACTGGGTAAATATTTGTTAAATAAAAAAATTAATATCTTAGAAAATACACTGGATTCTAAAAATTGGACATTTTCCCTAGTTTTTAAAAAAAAAACTGTCAAAAATTTTAGGAAAAGTTCCATGAGGATTCAATTTACTATACTCAAGGAAGTAAGGACAATTATTTCACTGGAAGTATCATGGAGTTTTACATGGTCAAAAATAAAATTGAGGTGTTCCAGCCAGAAAAATCAGTATGTTCAAATATAGGAACAAGAGAAAGGCCCATTGTATTTAAAAATAAAGAAAACTTTGGGAATAGACAAATCAGGGTAAATGAAGCTGGATCAATGATAACTGTTGGGATTTAACGTGTGGTAATAAGCAACAACTGAAAAAGGAGAATCGTAGAGGTGAAATTGTGTCCAAGAAAATAAATCTGGTAGCTACAGAAAAACTGTGCTACTCAGAACAGGACAAGAAGGAGCACAAACATGGAGAATGCTGTTTAGATGAGAAATAAGAGCCTGAACTTAGACAGAAGCAAGTGGAGTGATGAAGCAAACAGCTTCTTAGGACAACTTGAAAGTCAAGCTGATAATACTGTGTGACTGAGTGTTGAAGGAAGAATCAAGATGAGATTCTGCTTTCATAGAAAATTTGGGAGTCTTCATAAACCAACTCAACCTTCTTCCACCAACTCTAAATTTTCTATGAAAATCATTCATCCATTCTCAAGGTCATAGCCATACTTTTATGTATGAACCTTAAAAGACTTTACAGCAAAGTTTTTTATGGTATAATTTAATTTTGTTTAAAATTATTATTAATAATTATAAGATAAGTATGTGTGGATATAGATTAAAGTATACCCTGTTAACTTGTAGTATATACACTGTTAATAAACATCTTTTCACTGGATAAAATCACATTCTGGCTCCATGTCTTCAGCTTTTTCCAAACTATGACTGGTATTTGTAGCTCCCTCTCTGGCTTTGCCTTCTGGACTTTATCTTCCTTACTTCACACATTACTTCCTTACATTTTTCCTTACATCACACACTTCCTTACATCACACGTTACTTTTATTACTAGGTGTTTCTGCTGATTGAATAGTAGTCCACACCTCTGATAGCAATTTGCTGTTCCAATTATGGAATTAAGGGTTTCAAACAGAGAGCAAATGTTGATTTCACTTCCCTGCTGACATCGTAAGTCTTGTTTGCTTCTGATAATGTTAGCAGGTTAATCATTAGAAAACCTGGCAAATACAGTTTAATGATGAACATAAGATTATTTATAACCTCATCACCAACAGATTAGCATTGTAAACATTTTTGGTGTCTTTTAGATGTATTTTACAAAAACATTTTCATACACTCATGCACAATGGTATACTGTATTTAATATTTTAATTATAGCACTAACTTAGATCTGTGTACTCTTAAGAATTGTGAGGACTGTGTTTATACATCAAACTACAGATTATAAGATGGGTGAAACCATACTCTAAATATAGTTGGTTTTAAGAGGCAACACAAGAAGACTGGAATAGGAATCCACATTGCAGCTCTGCCCTCTAACTCTTCTTGGAATGCTGGCTCTGTGTTTCAAGGGTAAAAGAGGCCAAGCTACTATATAAACTGATGGTGCTGATACTATCTAATCAAGAACAATGACTTGCAAGATGATGTGTTAGATAATAGGACACTATCTTTACAATCATGATTTGCAAAATGAAAATTTTGGTGTTTATTGCCTTATCCTAAAGATACAGCTCTTTTTATTACATTTGACTTCCTACAGAAACCTACATAATATAGATATATGCAGCCAAAGTCTTCTTATACTAACCTTTGGAAAAGCTTAATTTTAGCAATTAAAGTTTGAGATTTCTGGAGGCCATGAAAATGAAAATTCAAGCTCTACCTTTGATGCAACTAGTAGAGCAGGTACAATGAAAAAAAAGCTATCCCTGAGTAGAATAGAATCTTGTGGAAGACAAGAGGAAGGAGACAGATTACTACAATTAAGAGTGCAATGTGCCTGTCATTTTAATTGACAGAGTGTATATGTAATTCAGGTTGGACAAAAAGGTAAAAAGTGATTGATTATTCTGCTTTAAATTGGAAATACTTTATTCCTGGAAAATCATACTTTCTCTTCCCATATGCTAGCTTCTTTTACTTCAATACAAAAACATTTGGAATCAGGGTTTGAGGAGAATGTTTGCTACCAAGTTGTACTCGGTAGAAAACATTATAGATGATGAGATTTCAAGATTTATCTATCTGGATCAAGGAAAAGAGTTGATATTGTAGTATGTATTTACAAACTGTAATATATATTTGATCACATATGTAGACTTTATCCTCCATTTAACATCTCAGAAATAAGCTACATTGTTGAGCTCTGAACACAATCCACATGGCGAGAGGAAGGAGAAGGACAGAGCAGGCCATGGAGGACATTTGAGGCATTACCAGGTACCCTTCAGCAAGTGTGCTAAGATGTTTCTGGAGTCTTTTCCTGCCTAACATCTCACTGAGCTAAATAAAAAGCATTGTTTGTTCCCAGTATATATTGTACAAAATTGTGTGAGCAAATTTAAGCTAGAAACTTTTAAATTTGTGCAACTGGATTAGAAATTTCACAATGTGGGTTTTATTTTTGGTTCAGGAATCCTTAAATACTTGTTTCCAGTAAAGCTAGAGCTTGCCTTTCTTGCCACATTTTGGTCCTTTCAGTGTGCAGTAGAACCAGGAAGTGTAACTGAATATGAAAGCAGTGTAGAACAGAAAGGGAAGAACAAACATAGAATTTCTGGTTATTGATGCCACTTCTTCTGGGGCATAGGTAACGTTCAAATGAATTCATACTTTATGCAATCTCATGTGCTTAATCTGAGTATTAAAATACTGTAATATGTTTAATGAAGCATTTGATTCTAGTGAAAATATATGCATACTAGATTCAATGTCAATCCCTCCTCTAAGAAATGAAATACTTCATCATATAGATACTATCAGAAAAACAGAAACATTTTTGTTTTTGTCTCTCACAAAGTAATAATACACAGAGGCATGTTTGCTAAAGTTTGTGTGATCTAAGGACATCAAATATCCAGGGTACTGTGCATGCTAGGCTTATACTAGTGAGACCTACCACAGAACTGGGGAACACAAATATTTCAATTTCTACAATAGACATTCTGAATTATAAACAAAAGCGTGGTCCATGTTATAATTTCTTCTTTCTCCCCCAACAATAATTTATGGCATTCACAGCAAAATATTTCTCATAAGGCATCACCATTTTTTTCTTTGATGTTATCATTTTCAGCTAGAAAGAATCAGACATGGCTCTGCCACTGCTAGAGAGAATTCACCTAGGATAACCCAAACCTTCCAGGTCTAGGAACTCAAGAAGGTTGTTGTAAAAGGTCCCAGAAACACTTCATCTTTTCAACATAACAGCACATACCTCCAACAGAGCTTCCACTAATGTGACAACTTCATTTTCTTAGGATACAATTTCTTCAGTTCTGCATGAGGTTAGTGGAGACTGGTGCCACCAAAAATAAGAGTTTGTGTTTCTATAACATGTGCTTATGACAGTGTATATAAATAAGGAGCCCCACCCCAGTATAGGACAAAGAAAAATATATGTCTTTTCAGGAGCTGGTTTTCTGAAAGTGCAACTAAGTGAAAGAATGTGGAGGTGGAGCCCAATATAAATGCAATGCTAGAATAAAAAAGAACCACCTACAAAAATCTTTCCTTAAAAAGCACCTGTTCCCAAAAAGATACATCTCATGGAGGCTCACACACAGATTTACTACGTACCCAAAGTGGCCTTCTGACAATGACTTCTTTGAAGGAGAATTTTTAACCCATTAGGTGTATATATTTTTGAAAAGCAAGTTACATGAGTTTTAGATGTCTTTTGCAATTCTGACTATTCAGCAGAGGTTGGGATGATGGACACATGCAACACTGTTCCCCAAGGGTTGTATTTTAGGAGAATGATGTGAAATTCAACATTCATAGCAAGACAAGATTAATCCTTAAGGGGGTAAAATGTTAAGAAATAAATCAGACATCTTTTGTGTATGTTTTGTTAGTATTTTGAGATAGATATTATTTCATTATACACTCATTAAATTTGTATGTAACATTGCCGTACATACCTGTCAATGCATATGTGGACAGTGATAATTTTTAAATGCACAGGTCTCCCTAGCACAATCCAGGAGTATAGCATAGAGGGTTCTTTGGCATTAAATATTAGAAACAACCACCAGGTATTGCAGCACACATATTTCCAAATGCCCATGGTGGGAACTATTTCACAAGTGGGCTGATAAGCAAGTTGCAGACTCATCCGTTGAAGGCCAGGTAGCCTGAGGCTGGTTTCTCTGGTTGCAGCACTTTGTGCCAAGGGTTATTTGCAGGGAGCTCCTTCCACTCTTGTGGATGGGCTTGGCAAGAAACCATCTCTCAACATTCCCAAGTTAGAGTGTTTGCCTGAACCGGTGCCTGAAGCTGAACCATAGTCAGAATCTCTGACCTTCACAAGCAAACAGGAAACATGTACAGGATTTGAGAGGGAAAAAAAATCAACTTTGGATTTTGTTGAAATGGTCAAAAACCATATACTATACCTTCAAGCTGGAAAGATAATCCTTCATCTTCAGGTATTAATTTTTTAACTTTAGTGAGTCATTTGCAGTATTTTAGAAATGTTATATTTTACTTTCTTCACCTCATAACTTTGAAGTTAAAGTGATTTTAAAAAATAGTCCGAAGGTATTCTGGAAAAGACAGACCAAGAAAATATTAATAAATTAGATTTCTATTTATACTGGGGAAAATTGGGTCCTTCTAACATACCAGGTATTATATTGCATGCTTTGTATAATTTTTGACTTGGTGCAAATCTTATACCAAATCTGCGTGACATATTATTTACTACCACTTTATACATAAGAAAATTGAGCTAAAGAAAATTTAGGAAATGTTATAAAGGACTAATAACATAGATATCACTTTTAGAAGGCATGGGTTAAAAAGTTAAAGTATTTCTAACTTTGGCACCACCAAAATATATAGATGTATTTTGACACTAATTAAAATTTGAATACATATTTTTCTCTCCTATGTTTATGGCATTCAAAGATAGAATTTTAGTTAAAATTAAATTTACTTTGGTTATTTTTAATGATTGTTCAAGGAAGTGTGAAAGAGAAATTATATTTGTTGATTATTCTAGGACTTCTCAGGAGACTCAGACTATTGCTGTATGTCCTGTGAGTTAAATATAGAACACAATGTACCATTTTGGCCCAGATGGAAATGTACCCAGAATATCATGGGCTCTTGATGTTTTCCAAAAAAAAAACCAAAAAAAGAAACAAAAACTGCATCTTCCTACATGTGTCAAGAGTGTAAGCAAGGTAACAAGGAAGAGCAGACGCCTGCAGTTAGCTCTTGTCACGGTCTTCTCTACTCTTCTTCCCCTTGCCCTCCTCTTCTTAGCTCTTTTTTACTTGTAAACATCCAGGGACTATTTCCTGTCCCTTATCCACAAACAGTACATTCTGAGATCCCCCAGTAGGTGCTTGAAACCAAAGATAATACTCATCTATATAGCTATATATCAGTATCTATATATCTGTTTCTACATCTATAGTGTTTTTCCTATATGAACATTCTTATGACAATGTTTTAATTTGTAAATTAAGCACAGTACAGAGATTAACAACTAGTAATAATGAAACAGTATAACAATATACTGCAATAAAAGTTATTTAAACCTTATGAATTGGTTTTTTTCTATAATTTTCCACTTAATATTTTCAGACTACAGTTGACCACAGGTAACTGAAACAGGAGAAGGCACACCTGCAGAAAATGGACTCCTGTGTCCATGAGTATTAGACTTTGAGCTAGTGTTAATTTACCCTCTCTCCCAGAATCTTCTTATTTAGAACATTTAACTCTGTTCTGGAATTATGTCCTTCATTTTCTGCTCTTCTGCCTCTGGTCTGATCACCACAAGTTCTCACTTTGTCAGTTCTGTTTTCTTCTCACTACTCTGTATTTGAGACCAAGAGCTACACAGATGCTTGCTGCTTTTCCTCTCGCTTTAGCTGTCTCCCTCAAGACCTTTGAGATGGAATGCTAAATCTTGACAAATGGTTGTATCTGCTTAGTTCCCTCTCTTCCTGACTTCCTGGTATCCTGTGGCTGAAACTGGGACTCTGTAGCATTGGGTACATATGTAATTTTTTTTCCCCTTGGCCAGTTCATTAACATTATTTTGATTTTCCAAGAAAATGGTCCTTGGTCGGACATTTACAAAGTTACAATGCCTAAGATCTAAAGATAGAGTTTCTTTTAATGACCTTCCTCAGAGTAATAGAACTTCTTAGTGCTTGACAACTTACCACTGTCGCTATTGTTACTGTGATAATTTCCTCATTCAAAATTGTTCAACATATTTCTTCTTTTTTAATTTTTATTGTTTTAGGTGTCTTTTGTGGAAGACTACCAAATGAAAGTGCCCTTTTAGAGGTATGGATTAGGCAGAATCAACAGATAATTTACTGCACTTAAATGGTCCCCCAGGTACATGTTCTTCTGTCTACTTACACACACAGTGAAATAAACTTAGTGGCCTATGTGCCAGTTTAGTAATGAAGTCATGTTGCACTGCATATTGTGGTGAAAATGGTAAGTTTGGACTTAAGGATGTTAAGACTTAAGTAAATATATTCTCTATTCTAAATTTGATAGATCTAGATGAAAGAATACAGAAAAACAAATTATGTAAGTTAAAGTTAAAATAAATAACATTCAAATCTTCCTGAAAGATTTTCAGCCTTTCAGTAATCCAACAATCAACCTGGTAATTGATTTTAACTTTGTAAGTGTTAAGCCTTAAGTACAAATACACTATATATTAGGATTGAAGTGCATGCAGCATTTACATTTACCCAATGTTTTAAAGGTTCTTTTGCCTGTGTCCTGTGATATTGTGTAATTTATCAATTTCTAAAGACATTGAAAGTGACTTCTGAATACTATTTCCTATACCTATCTGTCCCTTTTAATTTAAATAAATGACTTAAAGTTGTATAATTTATTATGTAAGTTGTTATCAATTAATTTGAGGGTCAGACACATGTACATGTCAAAAATGAGTTAGTATGTAAGTTCAGTAATACTTTTTTTTTCAAAGAACACTAGATCTGTTGGGCAAAGAAAGCTACAAGATAAATGATTTACAACACTGTACAAAATACATAGATCTATCTTAGTGAGATAAATTTCAAATAAGAGAATATAATTTCCCTGTTTATTATAGTCACATGAATTGTGGCTCCATACAGTGTAACATTGCAGTGAGGATTGATTAGAGTCAAAAAGCCTGATTTAAAATTTTGGTTTAGCCATTAGGAAGCAATTAAATTTTAAGCCAGTTGGTCGACATATCTCTGACTCCATTTCTTTTTTTTTTTTTTTTTGATAATTTTATTGTATATATTAGCTGTACAGGGGATTTTGTTGTGACATTTCCATACATGTATACAATGTAGCCCAGTTTGGCTCATCACCTCCATTATTCTCCCTCTCCCCCTTCCCCTTCTCAAAATAACTTCAACATGTTTCAATGCTCCATATTCATATATGTAAGAAAGTACATTGACCATATTTTCCATCCCTCTCCTCCCCCTCCTGCTAGTAACCTCCCCTAAACTAACCTGTCTTACATTCTTGTCCTTTATTGTGTAATGGTATGCTCATTATTCAGTGGGATTTGCCTTGGTATTTTACCTGTAACTGCATTGTACTTTAATTAGTCTAACTCCTTATATTACTCTTCCTTACTTTTTTTCCCTACCCTGTCTTATCCAACAGTTTTCAGTGCATTTCATTGTGTCCTGTTCCTACTCAGATGTGGTGTATTTCATTATTATTCACTTTCTATCATTCTCTTCTTTTTTCCCCTTCTGATTCCATTTCTTTATTCAAAAATAACAGTGGTAATACCTACTTCAAGGTTTTGTGAAGGATTAAATGGGATTGCATTGGCCGTAAAATGTTTATAACAGTGCAGAACATGGCAAAGTTGCTTTTATTTCACTGTTTAGCTCTTACATTATAAAAACTACTTGCTAAATACAGAAATAAGGAGAAACATCCCATCCTAATTACCAAAAAACTATAAATCTACATTAAATCTGCATCAACCTAAGTCGTAATCCTTCATTTTTCATACTGCAAACAAAATTTGTTGTGGAGAGAGACTGAGGAACAGAGAAATTGGTCCAGTTTATTAAAATCCATATTCAAATGTTAAAATCACATAGAATTAAGCAACTATTATTTAATTGGTATTGAACAAATGTAACTTCAAATTGTAGGGTCCTGATCCCATTTTTGTCTTTACTTAAATGTCAGTATTTATTTCATAGTTATTCAGTTGTTTTTATAAAAATGACCAAATCACTTCTCAGTGCTTTTACTACTTATGAAAGAGAATATGATCAAGACTAAAATTCAGAAGCATGTTTTTCCAACATCTTGGCCATTTTTTTAAAGTGATATTTTTATTAAAATTTTCACAAGTCTCAAAGGTTCTCCAGAATTATCCTGAACAATTTAGCTTTCCTGTAATTCTTTAAAAGGAAGACCTAAAGTTAACAAGATTGCCAAGTACCAGGTTGGTGGCCTTGAAAACTCATTTTCCTTGTCATTAGAAATATTTATCTTTAGTTATGAACACTACCTCATTATCTGGTGAATATAGATGAAGGTTATTTAGTTAATGCATACTTTTGTCAAAATATAATGAATTATATCACAGCAGACAGTTTAGCTTTATTTGGTTTAATTAACATAGGCACAGTCCTTACTCATAGGATCTGAAATAATGACCCACATTTTCCATTAGTTTCTGGATTGATGTAGGTTGTTTAAGAATGACTTTTAAGTTCTTAGGGTAAATTGGTCACTAATTTTGGATCCTAAATGATCTAGTGTTTATTAGAAACATTAGGTGATTTAATTAAACATATAGGATTAACAAATCTTTTTTCCATTCATAGGTGAAAGAATATGTGACAACATTGAGTGGCACCTTCCATCTAAGATTGTCACAGTAAAGAATGTGACAGAGGAGACTGTGGAAGACACGATGAAAAATAGTACAGCTTTAAGTAGAGCTAATCTCAGCATGTTTTTGTGCACCTGAGTGACTTCAATAAGCATGTCTCTCATGCAAATTTGGAAGCATAGTTGGTGATTCCTAGGAGGATTCAGACGAAAATGATTTTCAGGTGCCCATGGGAAACAGTTCCCAATGCAGTCTTCATGGGCATTTTTGACCAAATGTGAACAAAATCTCTCCTTGGAACGGGAAGATCACTGAAAACACTTGCCATGAATCTAAAGTATTTTTAGTGGCATGATTTTAATTTCATCTCTTGAAGATTTTATCATCGCTGTGGAATTTTAGATCTCAGAGATGACATTTCCTAAAAGATGTTCCAGGTAAAAGAAGCAGAAAGAACAAAATATAACTATGTACTATGTACAAAAAAAAAGGATTTTCTCATTTTTAGGCCCTTATGAAACATATTTTCTACCTGTATCGTTCTAGAAGATCCTTCCAGAGTCCCAGGGAGACCTTTGCCTGCATATAAGTATAGAGGTTAGATAAAACATGTACTCAACTATATGAAACATTTTAGGCCAAGATTTTCAATCCCTTCTTAGATTTCAAGAATCCATATTCCCAAAGGTTGTTTTTTTCATTCTTATCATTACATCCTTTATTATTTTTTTGATTCTTTATCCTTTTCAAAGACAAAATTCTTCAAATTTCAACTTAAAATGAACCAGCAAAGGATTGATTCTAGAAAATTGTGACATTGGTGAAGCTTTTCTTTGTCTCTCCTACCCTTAAGCTATCCACTGTTACATTTTCCTTCAAAAGCTTTAGCTATTGATTTCTGTAAACTTCTGGAAATGCAAATAATTCAGTATGTACAAGAAAATGAAAGTGGATAAAGAGGAAATTATAGTCTGGCAGCCAATCAAAAATAACCAGAAGGTATATTTTCCAATGGTAAGCAAGAGGTTGTAGACTTTGAAGATGTAAGTTCCTCGGGACTCTGAGTCAGGTAAGGGATTGATGTATCCATTGGAAGAAATGTTCATACCAAACAGGGCAGATCAATGGCACTGGCCAACCTGTCTGCCTGCCAGTTGTTTCTTCTGTGGCATCTGAAGGTGATAACACTAGAAATAAATATCTTCTCCTTGTCCATTCCATTCCAGGAAGGTCTTGATATGAAGACAGTTTTACAGCAGGTTTCACAGTGAGTACTCTGGCTTAAGTTCATCTTCCTGAGTATGAGTTTGACTGCGGGGCATGGAGAAAAATACCTTAAGGATTTCAGAAACCAAAGCCAGTTCGTTCAACAAAACATATAGCTATCTCTAGTCTTATAGATACATGTACAGAGACATAACCCTTAGGAAATCAGTTGACAGGAAATTCATAGGACATAGGGAAAAGTATTCAAATCGACCAGAATTTAGTAACCTTGTAGTATGTTTATTGAATTTATGTACAAGATAACCTCAAACTGCATGACAAGCATATGTTTAGAATACATAGACTTCATGGATTCTATCATTGCATGATTTCATCAAACTGAAAGCTTGCAGAAATCCTGCAGAGAAAGCAAAGGTGCCTTGCATCTGTCAGAGGAATTAAATTAGCCACATTTCCATCTGATGAATATATCAAAGTGCCTATTTCTGACTTCTCTGAATATCAGCTGTGGACAGTGATTAATTCCTGGCCTCTACTTCCACTCTTCCCATAAGATGTGGAGGGACAGAGTCTTTGCCCACTGTAATGTAAGAGGCAAACACCATGGGTCAAGTTGCAGCAAGAGTGATGGTAAATGCATGGGAATGACTCAATGCTGGATTAAAACAAAGAATGCAATTCATGGAAACCTCTCAAATGTACATGTTGGGATGTGCTGAGCAGTCGACTTGAGTGGATCTGTAGCAGCATGTGAAGGGTTTACATAAATGTGAACTCATGCCCAGACCACAAATGTGACTTGCAAATTTACAGCCCGGAATCAGGGAAGGTGCACACAGAAGCAAAAACAATTGACAGTAAACAAAAACCATTAGTACCCTTGGCTAATGTTAAATATTTAGTGAACTTTAATCCTGTGGTGCTGGAAGGAGCCTGGGTGAATAGTCCTCTTGAGTTGAATTGTTAGGAAGGCAAGCCCATGGCCATCCATACTTGACAGTAAAAAGATTACATTGTTGCAAATGGGGTGGTAACTTGGAGTCAATGCAAATCAAAGAGTTCAGGAAGGTAGACAGAAATGGTAGGTTGAATCTGTCTGCTTCCTAGGTGCCTATTTGATGTTTCCGCCTCTGAATGGCTTGCCCACACCTGGAAATTCAGATAGATTTCTTCTCCTTTAGCCCAAGCCCTCTCTTAGGAATCTTCTGCTTCTTAACTCAGCCATGTGGTAACTCTCCCAGCCACCTTCTCCCTTCCCATAATTTAAGCATTTATTCAGTCATGTGCATTCCTTCTCCACTGTGCTTCTGGAATTGATCACCTCTTTCCTTTCTCAAGTTCAAGTACTTATTATCTCTCACCTGAATTTTTGCCCTAGGCTCTGAAGTGGTCTACTCATCTCTATGTTCTTCTCTTACTCCTCCAATCAACTCTGTGGATTTGACACTTCAACTACCTAAAAGACATAATAGTTACAATACTCCTGCAATCACGAAACTTCAATGGCTGCTTGCAACCTTTCATTTCAAGTAAAATTTCTGCAGCCTAGCACTTAAAACCTTTTAGCTATTTTTCCAATCATATTCTCCATTAATCTCTAAAAGTAGTTATACTCTGGAGCAGGGTTTCTCAGTTTACTCACTATTGACACTTTAGCCTAGATAATTCTTTGCAGAGGAGGCTGTCCTGTGCATTGTAGACTATTCAGCAGAATCTCTGGTCTTTATTCAACCTTTTCCAGTTGTGACAAGCAAAAATATCACTGGATATTTGTCAAATGTTCCCAGGGAGTAAAATTCTTGCCCTAGAAAAAATAGCTCTGTTGTGGTCATCAAAATACTACTTAGGTTTCTGGTGTCCGTGTGTGTGCCTGCAGTTGGCCTTGTGTTTAGAATGTCTTCCCTACAGCCTCTACCTGTTAAAATCATAACCACTATTTCTGCTTTACCTCAACAGCTTCCTATAACCAGACTCCTTTCATTGTTTTAATCAGTATCCATGAATACAAGTATTTTCCTTCAACTTTGGATCATCATCACACTTGAAATAATGCTTAAACTGTTTGTCTTAATCTTGACTCTTGTCATTAGTGTGGCTGCTAAATGTAAATACCGAATGAGGTAAGTGTGGTGGTACATGTCTTTAATCACAGCACTTGGGAAGCTAAGGCATGAGAATCTAGAATTTAAGGTCTATATATTGAGACATTTTCTCAAAGAAATGAATAAATAAACACAGAAACAGATTTCTGGCCACTGTTATTTAAACTTATAAGTATTTATGGTACAACTTAAGTAACCTACTGTCTATTTTGTTTGAGCTTTAATTCTCTCATCTTTTTTAATGCATCGAACAAATCTTTCGCATCTTCTTGTATAAAGTATTTTTGCCAATATATAAATACTAAAAGCAATCGTCTTTGTGTAATTATCGCACTGATAACTGCAATAATGTGATGTTTTTTCTTTAAAAAATGTGCAAGAAAATAGACCACTGGACTGAAAAAGATAAAAACAAAGGCTAGAGGTACTGGACCTTAAAAATCATTTGGTCCTTCTTTTGCTCGTTTACTTCAGGTAGTTGGAATGTTAAAAGGGCAGATGGCTTTCTTGTAGTGATACATCCAGCCCATTACAGTTGGGGCAAGTACTTGGGAGTCCTGTTCGGAATTTACTACAATAGACTGGTTTTGCCTCATGTGGAGTCAGTCATCGGACCAGCATCAAGCACACAGCCTAGGAACCAATAAAAATTCAAATACTCAGACCCTGCCTAAGCACACTGAATTAGAAAGTCTAGGAGGGGTGCCCATATAACTGAGTTTGGAGTTGTACGGATGTTCTCACCTTCTAGTTCTCAAGAAGGACTTGAAGGATCTGCTAAAAAATATAGAGTGATTATTCACCATGTGCCATATTAGGCAATGGTTAAATTGTTGTGGCGTCTCAAAAACACAAAGAAAGGCAGCTGTGCTCAATATCAAATTAGCAACCTGACCTATTTCCTGGAATTTACAACTTAATCCAGAGTTCCTGTCTTGAAGCAGTAAAAAAAATTGATCTACTTTCATTACTGTGGTGTCTCTTTCATCTTAAGGTAGAATGAATTTCTACCATATTTAAAATAAAATTCCATTCATGTACTACAGGTGCAGAAATTCCAAATATAGGGATATAAGATTGGAAAAAGAAGAAAAGCATGTTAAGTTTTTGAATTCTTAAAAAAAAACATACATACTAGACATCTTCACAATGGCTTGTTTCAATGCAGTTGTTATTAGAACAAATACCAAAATAAAACAAATAGGAGGTATATTTGTAAGCCAACATAAAAGAAAATAAAGCCAAGTCAATGCTATAAATTATAAAAAGAAAAAGACAGGAAGTAAATAGAAAGCATGTCAGTGTTTATAATGATTGCAAATATTCTTCTCAAATTTGGTATAAATCTAGACCTATAAAAATGATGTAAAAGGTAAAAAATGAGGGAATAAAAAAATATTCTGCACCAATCGTAAGAAATCTAAAATACCTAATACCATATTAATATCTAACAAAAGTAAATCAAATGCAGAAACAAAAGGAGGGTTATTTTATTTGATAAAGTTAAGGTATTCTAATAAGTTTTAACAATCATGAACACATACATACCTAACAATATTCATTGAGATATACAGGGAGCAGGTGCCATTGAAAATGTAAATAAAAATACATTACTCTACTATAATGATAGATGCTTAACCTCAAATAGTCATGTCACTAAGTTGTACACAGTAAGAAAGAGATTAAACAGATAAAAATGTTTAAGTGTATTAAATACTTGAATTATACAGTCAGCAAGTGTATAAATATTTACCTCCCACAGAAAATATGCTTTCATTTCAAATAGCCATAGAATATTTAAAACTATTGTCCATTGTGTTTAAAATTATATAATATATTCCATGTTTTCTGATTACAGTCCAATAACACCATATATTTGTGTTTATATGTTTGTGTTTGCGTGTGTGTTTAGAAGAAAGAAAGAGAAAGAAGGAAAGAAGGAAAGGAAGGAAAGAAGGAAAGAAAGAAAGAAAAAGAAGAGCAGAAATGTTGGGGATGGACTACTTGTAATCACAGCATCCTGAGGCTGAGGTAGAAGGACCTCAAGTTCCAGTTCAACCTCAGTTGCATAAGAAGACCCTGTTTTAAAAAAAACAAAACAAAAAACAGAAAATGCCCCCCAAAAAAACAAAGCAAAGCATACATATCCACTTAGTCATTCTAAAAAACTCTTTTTAATAATGTTTAGGTTACTAAAATCTATTTGGAAATTTTTATAAACCATGAGATAATGCAGTATATCAACACCTATAGATTTTGACAAAAAGAGTACTCAGATGAGACTTTGTAGACTTTAATATATTTACTAAAAAAAGGATGAGAAAAATAAACTGTTCAACTCCATCTTGGATAACACATAAAATATTATATATGTTCACTGCAGAAAATAGTAAATTGCAGATAAGTAATAAGGAAGAAAGTGAGAATCATTCACAATCCTGAAACATTTTTCCCATTTATATAACTATAGCTAATGGCAATAAAGAAATCCAGACAAATGTCCAAAATTGTGAAAACCTTCCCCAGTTTCAGGGCTGACTTGCCCTGCAGATCTTACCAATGTGGTAAGAGAGACCCACTAGGTGTGAGGCTTGGAATCCTTGTGCAGTGCAGTCAGTTTTATGTGTGTATATGCTGGTGGCATGTATGTTTGTGTGCTTGCATGTGTGCAGTGATGGACAAATTGAACCTTCTCATACCTCTCATACCTGGTTTCCTTGTGAAGTTGTATTTCAAAAGAAAAAATAATTGTTTCACTTAAGCAGATTTTTCTGGAAAGATTTCCATGGCCTGACAATTGGATAAAGATTAGCCCTTCAGAATGTGATGATGCACACAGGAGGGGAAAATGGATCTACAAGGAAATGACAGGGGCAGAATCCCCTGGAGACCAGTAAGGGGAAACCCTTTTGGACACAGTGTAGGAGAAGCATTTTCTTACAACTGACCCTGACAGAAACACTGCCAAACCTCTGCCATACTGTTGGGACACTACCTTGGATACAAGTTCTGGGAAGAGTTAATCTCTTGCTCTTGGAAAGCACTAGTGGGGTTTTGAACAAGGTCATTTTGTTCAGCAGAAGGTATCTAGGGTACCAAATGTTTTTCTTGTTTGGACATTGACCTTAAGAGAATACATGTCAAAAGACTACAGTCTTCTCTCAGGAAGAATGAGAATAAGAAACAAGTAACATGTCTAAGCAAGACATGAAATCCTGCGCCTCTTGCCCCCTGAATAGAGTCCAATGCCCCAAGATAAAGGAAATCCACTCTGTAACCTGATAGGCTTGTTACTAAGCATTTTGCCAAGAACAACGCCTTCCCTTCACGTAGCGCCAGAGTCCAGGTTCATAAACTTTTAAGTACAAAAGAAGAAAGGAAAGAAAAAGTAGCAAAGGAAGCACACCTTGGCGTGCAACACAACACACCACAACAGGTAAAGCTTCAGCTTGTCTCAGGAAGGTATGAAAGAGTGCTTAGCTCACATGTCTTGAACAAACACTTTATTGGAGGTCTTTGGCTTAATTGCTAAGGTCAGAGAATAAATATAGAAATCTAAAATTAGATTACTGTAATTGTCATTCTCTTCCCTTGATCCACTGCAAGCCCTCTGCAAGGAGTAACTCTGAATCCCCAATACCCCAGTATCACAGTTCCAGGCACCTGAGAATTGGCAAATGCTCTTTGAAAAAAGAAAAGATCTTTTCAATGGACTTAAACGTTTAGAATTTAGGACAATGGCCATCTGAAGAAAAGAAATCTTGCTGCTGCAAATACAAAAGTAACTAACGCATTATATTATATAATTTATGAAGCACTTTTATACAACTCGTCACTTTCAAGTCTTAAAAATTACACTTTTATTCTTATTTTCCGATGAGCCAGCCAAAGCTCAAAATTCTTAAGTCACTTGTGAAAGACAAATTTCCTGAAGCCATTTCTTTATGGAATATGAATCATGTTATAAGCAACATTTCACTATGTGCGATTAAATGCATCTTACACAGAAAGAAATTAATGTGGAGGAAGCAAATCTGTTCCACAAAATCTGTAGGTGCTGCTTTGAAAATTTCTTGAAGATTTCCTTAGGGAAAAATACATATACGATATCAAATGCATTTACATATGTATATGTGTGTGTGTGTAAACATAAATGTATGTGTATATGTGAATATATACAACATATATAACCACAATTAAACATTTTTCTCAAAAATTTGGCTACTAAAAATTTGATGTCAGTGCTGTAGGGGACTGAATTAGGATGTAGGTAGTTAGAGAACTAGAAAGGAGTAACATGTATTGAGCACTCAAAGTTCCTAGGATCTTAACAAACAGAGAATAAGATTTCATCTCAGAGTAAAATCAAGACATGATGCCTTAAAGCAGACAGGCAAAGGGCATTTAAAAAAAAAGAATGGAGGTCAGGCATAGTGGTGCACACCTGTAATCACAGCTGCAGGGGAGAAAGAGGTAAGAGGAGTGAAGTCTGAGGTTTCCCTGGGCACAAAATATAAGACTCTTATCAAAAACTAAAAAGGTTGGAGGTATGGCTCTAGTTGGAAAGTGCCTGTATAGCAAGCACAAGACCCTGAGTTTGAACTCTAGTAGTGCTCCCCCACCTCAAAAAAAATAGAATAATATCTGTCTAGAAAAAGCTAACTTAATTTATACTTAGAACTGATCAGTGGATTCCTGGGAACAAATGTGCTGAAGGGGAAGGATTTTCTGAAATTGGTAACAAAATGAATTTGGGAAATGGTAAAAATAGTATGATTATTTTGATAAGAAGAATGTGTACTTCTATACAAGTCATAGAAATGTACATATGTGTACATTTTCTTGTATGCAAAATATACTATAAAGGAAAAGTACATGAAGAAAAGTCACAGACAGAACCAAGAGATTGATTTCCAGACTTCTAAAGTTTAATTTCAAATGCACTGTATCTTCTCACTGATAGGCGCAGAGTGTTTTAGAGGACAGACAGTGATGACACTGGTGGGCCTGGGAAGTGTTTGAGAATCTCTTCCATGGAGCATGCTTACCTGTGCACTGCTCAGGAGAAAGGTGTCCTTTCTCCCATCCAAATAGTAACCAGACCTGATGTGCTTAGCTCCCAAGATCAGACAAAATCCAATGCGTTTAGGGTCATTTG